GTATGAATGCATAGATGTAGGGTTGAGTGACGAGATTTTTGTGATAAGTACCCCTATAAGGTAGGGATGTATGGTTCACTGACGAGGTTTTGTGATAAGTACCCTTAGAAGGTAGGTTCCTTAATTTTGACCTACGGTTAGTCTACCCTCCCAAGATGTGGTTTCCTTAAGGGTGTCATGAATAATACCAGAGAGAAAAGGCACAAGGGCCTCCCTTAGGTGGAGCCTCTTTACGGACCGAAACTTTCATCTCAAATTCGTGAAAGGTCTCGTCATGAGATTTTAGGTTAAGGTCATTACAAAGAGTCATGGGTGACCTTCCAAAGTCCTACTCGTCAAGAGGATATCTCTCGATAAGTATTCCTTTTTCGGAAGTTCATCGACTCTAGGCGAAGTCGTCACATAAACTCGTAGGGATGATGTACCCCCTAAGCTAATAGACGAACCTTCTTTCTAAGGGTTACCGAAAATATTTTTTTGAAATAAAAACCAACCACATAGTAAATATATAATAATAAGGAAAATAAACTAGAAAATAAAAAAATGCGATAAATAAATTAATAAAAATAAAAACCTAAAAGAGACCTAAAACATAGGGTTAATGAGAGTCGCCAGTAGAGTCACTAGCTGTAGCAACTGGTTTTTTAATCAGAGTCGCCACTATCAGTTTTTATCCTAGGGAAGGGCATCTAACAGGAAACCCTAATTTGTAGACAAAGATTCTAGGTTTCGGACTTCATTAGACGAAAGGAAAGTGTTAGACACCTTTCATCTACCTTGTTCACAAGGATACTAGGTTTTAGGTTTAGGTTCAGGTAAAATAGGGTTTTAAATTTTAATTAGGGGGAAGAGAGTTTTAATTTTTAATAAGGGAAAGAGTTTTAATTTTTAATAGGAAAAAGAGTTTTAATTTTTAATAGGGAAAAACATTTTAATTTTTAATAGGGGAACTCGCTACAATTTTTTATCGTATGCCTAGGTATCCTCTTATGAGGAATCAGAGTCCCAATTCGTAGTTCGTATGGGGTTGATGTTTTTTAGGGGTTGCAAACATATTTTGAATCACCTCACACTTTGGTCGGGAATAGTGATTACGGAGATTTTGATTAAATGCGCGGTAAGTCAAAATCTGTTTGGAACCCTTTTGCAAAAACAATTGATTAGACTAGTTGATTGTGTAAAAAAAAGTTTGTTGTTTGTTGCGTGTTTTTTAATCGTATTAACTGCAAAAATATCTTGATTAATGCATGACTAAAAAAATATTTAATGCATTATATAAGAAAATAATATATGAATTTTCAAATAAAAATAATTTACTTGTGATAATATAAAATAATAATATTATAGTAAATAAGAATTAACATTAATAATAATAATTATTATATATAAAAAAAGAAAAGAAATAACATAAAATATAAATATAATAATCATAAAATAGAAATATAAAATAATTAGAATTAAAAAAAATAAAATATTTACTTAATTTCATGGGGGGTGTAGTTTGGGCTAGTAAGTAAAAGATGGGGGTGCTAATAAGGACTCTGGGCTGGCCCAAATATAATTTTTGAAAGGGGGGTGTGAATTGTTTTTTAGTTTAGTAAAATGGCAGAAAGGGGGGGGGGGTGTAGGAAGTAACTGGGCTTAGGCCCAGACGCTTGGGAGAGAGGTTGAAGGATTGCGTGTGGCACGAGTGCACGAGTTTACCATAGGACTTGGCCTTACATCCGTCAAATCATGATCAAGCGGACAAAAATGAGTGTACATGTTAAGTACAATAGATGCTTGGATCAATGGATTATATTATTTTAATTCATTTTCTTCATTCTCGTTTCAGCAACAATTTCTCTATCTTCCACTCCTCTCGCGATGCTAACCCTTCATCCTTCTCCAACCCTACTTCTGCACCACCACCGGCAGCGACGCTATCTGATTACCCCTAAAATATTTAGTCAAAATAAAAACAAACAACAAAATTAAGGAAATTAAATTACCCCTTTCGATTCTAACTCCTGTATTCTTTAAGTGTCAGGTTCGCTAATTCTTCCTCTTCTTCGTGTGTTTTGCAGGTGACGGTGGAATGAGGCCGGTGAAACGAGGTGATGATGAGAGGTTGAAGAGGGTGGTGATGATGCAAAGTCGGTGATGACAATCAGCGATTAGGGTTTCAGAAATTGAAACTCTAATTGCTCACTTCTTCATGTTCAACAGGTTATGAGGTGTTCCTCTTCTTCCACGCTCTTCAAATTCCTCCCTGTCAACTTCTTCTTACTGTTTCTGTGTTCAAGTCCGTTGCAATTTTGTTCTTCGATTTCTCCCCCCTTCAAGCTCTGAATCCCCCTTTCTGTAAATTAGTTTAGTATATATATACTTTTGATTTAGGGTTGCCGTTTACAATTACTTAACATAGATTTAGGGAGTGGGATTGATTCTATATTATGTGTATTAGAGATTCAATGTTTATGATACTTGATTTAGTCTGATTTGCGATTTGATTTTTGTATATCAGATTTGGATTTTTTGTACTGTAATAGAGTTTGGATTCTGGGCCTATAATTGATAGTAGTATTTGATTCTGCTGCTATTTTGCTGTAGAAAAGTTCTGTCTTGATTTTGTTGTAAAAAGGATATGATTTTTGTCCAATCTGTGCAATAAATGTTGGTGATGAAACCTGCGTAATTCCCGTTGTGACATACACAATACCTATTATTTTGAACATGGGCCTTGTGTCAATTTTAAGCCCAATGCGTTTTTCTCTTGCCAAGATGGGCCTATCAGTTGTGGCACCAATCCATAACAACAATTACAACAAGTGCACTTTCCTTTGATATGCATATTGGGCCTAAACAACATATTTGTTATTTACAACAAACATTTTTTCGGACTGGGCCCAATTGGCTTCAATAATCTGATCCAATAGATCTTTTTTCAAAACAAAACTCTTTATTATATACACCATACAATAATAAAACAGAAATATAATAACGGTAACAATTTTGTTCACAAATGCCAAATGGGGAAACTTAGAAATTGTTTAATGGGCATGTGCAATAACTAATCAAGGCAATGCCAATGTTTCTTCTCTTCAGCTAAAACAGTAATGGACTTGGCTAAAAACTCAATGGGTCACTGTTTCTTTATGTATTGCCCAACGAAAGTGGACCTAACAAAATGGGCTTCCACCTTAAATTTTCACTCTCCTTTCTTCACCAACAGCAGTAATCTCTATATTTGATTTCCACCTCTTTTTCACTAATAACAACTATTTAATAATTAAGAACTTAATAATTGTTCGAATAATTTTCCATTTTCGAATCGCATGGGCCTTTGGCCAACATGCTTTGCGAATGTGTTCACGGACATACAAGTCTTTCTAATTTTTGAAAGCCCCACTTTCCTGAATTTAAGTACACCCTCTAGTCGAATAAAGACGGATCATCAGATACTGATGTACCATCTTTAATTGGATATTTCTTCAATTTTAATCTCGAAAAATAAGATCATCGGGGTAGGACAAATTTGGAGTATGACACATGTGTCGACACATATTGAAGTATAATCGTTTTTATGATTCTTTGCTTAAGTATGTGTCAATGCAAAGCTCTTCGTGTCGACTCATAACAGTGTTTTATGTGTAAAACACATTCTTAACTCTTTTTAAACATGTTATACTGTATTTTTACAATGCACACATATAGGTACAGCATTTTCAACATTCATTGATTATTTCACACATATTTGTTACCATTCAAAACCAATTATATGAAGGGGTTGCTCACACAAGTGTCTCCTAAAAAACTTCCTCATCCATCACATTGATATCCTTGTGTATCATATCCCCTCCCCGCTGTTTACCTCTTAGTAGAAATCACTTCCAAGATAGGATTCCATACTAATTCAATACTTGTCTGGTTCAAATCTGGTGGTCGAGTTGCATGTTGTATTGTTATGGAGTTTGCATCATTATGGTGATCAACACCGTCTCCATCTTATGTTATTATTGTAACATTTTCAGTTTGATCCTTCTCATGACCTTTCTCATGATGATAACGTGTATTTTGCATGGAGACGTGACTAGTTTCCAGAAAATCCATATTCTGACATTTCTCATATATCCCTTATATAGCGCACCTCATTATATTCTGACTTTTCTCATGATGAAAGTTTATTGAATAAATATACCCACCACGATTTAGGCTATATGTATTAACGATTCTGTATCAGGACGATCAGTCATTTACACTCCTATCAGAATTAAATATTAAAATAATATTATTAATTTAATAAATAGTAAATTAAGAGAGTTTAGTTATCGATGAGTGGTTTTTTAAAACCGACCCCCTAGTTGAACCCAAATAAAATTGAAAAATTAAACATGAAAACTCGAGAACCATTTACACCCGTCTGCATGTCAGTTTTTAAGGTTGGTTTTCACGGTTTGGGAGGAACCATTGACATTTGTCATCCCTGCACATTATTATATGAATTTGATACTTATGTATTAACCATTGAGTATCAGGGCGATCTGTCATTTACACTCATATTAGAATTAAATATTAAAATATTATTAGTAATTTGATTATAGTAAATTAGGAGGATTCATTTATCGATGAGTGGTTTTTCAAAACCGACCCCATTTAAACCTAAACAATACTGATGAAATTAAACAAGAAAACTCGAGACCCATTCACGTCCATCTGCACGTCACTTTTTAGGGTTGATTTTTGCAGTTTAGGACGAACCACATATATCATCTCTCCATCTTTACATATTATTATATGGATTTGATACTTTATATGTTTATTTTTAACTATGAATATGATCAATAATATCATAAGTCTGCGTGTTAATAAATGTGAAATATTTTTAAAAATATATGTTTTTCCAAGGATAAGATCTTCAAAAATAAGTAATTCAAGTTATTATGAAATACCTAATTAGAAATGATCTATATTTTCTTTTTTGAGTAATAGACCTGGATAATAATAAATAAAAAATTGTAGTAATTTGCAAAATAGGATGGTGTGACAAATACTCACTTCACCTAAAAAAACAAAATAAAAAGTTTGTAGTTGCCAACCAAAGGAGATGGCAAATCAGTTTCACGGATAGAGATGGCCCTCTACAGAATTTTATAATCAGAAGTTTACTATATAACAAAAACCCATTTCATTCCGCAAAGCTTATCAATCGCTCGCTTTCTCTTTCTGGTAAGGGCTTCCGAACTCGCTCTTATCACTCAGTCTTCTTCTCAGGTACTCTCTTCGCGCCCGAGTTGACTCTGACTCGTCCCTGCTTCGATCTACTATGCTCTGCACTTCGTAATCTCACTGTTTTACATGTTCTTACGCTTCGAATATCAATATGTGATGTTGATGCTGATTTGATTCCGTGGAGTGAAAACGAAACCTCTGTTATCAATGTAGTGCCGTTCATTTGTTTTCATGTGATTTTCGTATACTGTTTATGATAGAAATGAGAAATGAGATATGAGATATGCTTGAACATTGAGTTAGGGTTTGTGGTGGTTAATATAGATTCAAGATTCTTATAATACATTCTTTTTTAAATCCATGAAAATGAGTTGGTAGTTTCAGTTTGTTCTGTGGTTTCAAACTGAGGTTGGAGTAGCATTTTTCAGCAAAAGAAAGTTGTAGCTGTGTTTTGCTCTTAACTCTGATTATGTTGTTCAAAATCTACAGCATTGTGGCTGCTGTGACAGTTTGGATGTGATAGAGAGAGATCGTTGATTTGGCTTTAACTTAAATTTCCATGTGTCCTGCTTGCTGTTGCTAAATTTTGGTTTAGTTTGTTGTATTCAATATTCATGGATGATTACAGGTTACAATTGTATTGTGTTATCTCTAATACACTGTCTTTCACGGTATGTTGTTCAATTTAGGTTGTTGATTATTTGCAAGGAAACACTGTTCAGGTTGTTCTGACGACTTGAATATAAAGGAAGACTGTTTTCTGCAACGGATGATTTTTGGCTTGGCCGTTTGAAATTCATGCAATGTCGGGGTTTCTTAATGTATTTCCTCATGACTTGAAAAGCTTTCCCTCCTCATCCTTGTTTTTAATTTGTCTTCATGAAATTATATTTGCATCTTTCCCTTCACTCTTTTACTTTGTCATGGCTACCAGTTGCTATGTTGATTCATTTTTATCGAAAACTTTTCACTTTTCCGTCTCTTGGAGACTTATAATGTTCTTACATTTCATGTTGAGTGTATATTCTGGAGATTTGAAGTATGCTACGAAATGTTAAAAAGAAAAATATTTATTCAAATACTACGTTTTGTGGATGCCGGATGGAGAAGAATAGTAGGACGATCATGGGGTCTGGGGGATTTCACTACTAAACTAGATATTTGAACCTGTTTTTTTTTGTTACCATCGACTTTTTCTTGACAGCGTCTTTTTGTATGCTTGTTTAATACTGCAGTTGCATCTATGCATGGTTAGTAAATGATAGATTGTCAGGAAACTCTATTAATATCGAAATTTGCTGTCTTTGTTGCAGACTTCATGCCCCGTGCTTGTTGGATGCACAAATAGACTGATAATATTTGTTTAATATCTTTATTTTGTATTATTATTTTCATATTTTCTAAAATGATGATTCACACTTCTAGGTTTTTTACTTTTAACATGTTCATTATGAATATGAATTGTAACTGAATTTTCTTTGCAGTCTTCTGTGAACGGGTCTGCTTCAAATCTTCCAGATGGTGCTGGACGGTCTTATGCCACATCTTTCTCTAGTCAGTCTGGTGCAGCCTCCCCAATTTTTCATCATACTGGTGGGGAGCATTTGCTGGTTTACTTCATTTTTTTCTCCTATTTAGTTAATATAATTGCTAAGTTCCTGTTGCAGGTGCTATTCAAGGGATGCATAATATTCATGGGAGCTTTAATGTTCCAAACATGCCTGGTACTCTCCCACCAAGAAACTCCACACTAAATAATGTTCCGTCTGGGGGTGTTCAACAACAAGCAGGAAGCCTTTCTAGTGGAAGATTTGCATCCAACAATCTCCCTATTGCATTATCACAGGTTTGTGTTGGTGCCATGTGTGTTTTCTAAGACAGATCGAGAGTAATAACTAATAATTGAAAATTTGATAATACTTGCACCTCTTCTTTTTGTCATTTTATTTTTACTGTTTTGTTATTTGCTAGGTTTTCACTTTTCACCTGTATCAATTGTGTTTTGCAGCTATCTCATGGAAGTTCCTATGGACATTCAGGAGTCACCAATAGAGGAGGTACAAGTGTCGTAGGAAACCCTGGATTTAGTAGTAGCGCAAATGAATTTGGTGGTTCTATTCCTGGGTTTCCTGCATCTATTGGTAATCGAAGTGCTGTTCCAGGATTAGGAGTATCCCCAATTTCAGGAAATGTAGATCCTCGAATCACCAGTTCTTTGGGAAACATGGTTGGCGGAGGGAATATTGGAAGAACTGGAGGATTGTCTGTTCCCGGTCTTGGTTCTCGTCTAAACTTGAGTGCAAACAGTGGATCTGGTGGTTTAGGCATGCAAGGACAAAATCGATTGATGAATAGTGTGCTTCCACAAGGTATGCATTTTTATAGTCACAAAAACACTGAAATTGGTGTGAAAGTAATTTTACGCCAAAATTTGTTGCATACTTTGTTCGAGTAATTCCTTTTCTTATAAAATTATTTTTCACTGTGAAATGTATACCACTACAAGTCTACAATTCTTTTCGAGCATGACATTTGCTTGTCTTATTATTTTCAATATGTTGAATGTGTTTTATAGTGATTGCTTGACAAGCGGTTTGATTACTTTTAGTAGGCACTTACAAGTTACAATGATGATGGGAAAACAAAATTTTATGCAGTCAGTCTTGACTTACGTTTGCTTTCTTTATCCTATAGATCCATATTCGATATCTATTGTTGTTCACTTCTTTCCTATTAAAAATGCACTCTTTGTTCTGATTTTCTGATCCTAATATTGTCAGTTATCAAATTTTTTATTTGCAATATTATATGTGGATTAAAAGTTTTTCCGACTGTCAATTACCATGCTGTCAAACAAACCGTGTTTTTCCTTATTAACATACATGTCTTTTTTCTATTAAAATAAAACTTTATAAACTATATATGTTGAATGGATTTGGATCCTCTCTCATGTGTGTTCTCTACTGCCCTGCCTTCTGCTCTAATCACAACCATTCACTTGGAGTTTTTCTCTCATTAAATTATTTCTTTTCTAAATTTTTCTTCTTCTAAACTTTAAGTCTTTGGATTAGCAGCATGAGGGACCGCTGCACAGATCCACATGAGGTGGTCTGTTTTCATGTTGGATAGAGACATGGTTTTTGGTAGAACATTATGACGTGGTTTGATCCATATAGCCGATCCCACTTAATGGAAAAAGCTTGATTGATTGATTGTTGTTGCTGTAACTATATATGCTCGATGCTCATCCAATGGGTGATATGAGATCATTTTAATTATTGAACACATAGGTCGAAAACAATTTGCTAGCCTAACTTCAAAGCAGAAACGGTGTGCCATAATAACTCCACAAGGTCATGTTGGGTAGTAAAATTGAAATTGGAAAGTTCTGTATGCTGCAGACGATTCGACATTTCAGCTATTGTATACTACTGAGCTAATAGACCATTATCGTATACAAATTACTCAGTCAAATGAGAGCTCTAAGTCTGAAAATTCTAATTCTGGATGTAATTTTTATGGTTGTCGTGGTGGCCGTGGCTGCGGTCGTTTCGGTCGTGGTCGTGGCCGTGGCTTTGGTCGTGGCCGTGGCTTTGGTCGTGGGAATATTCAGTGCCAAGTTTGCTACATGTATGGTCATGATGCATCCATTTGTTACCATCGCTTTAACACTCAATACACTCCACAAGGTTAGTATCCCGCTGCTCCTGCTTATGGTAACTATGGTAATTCCTATAACAATTCCTATCAGTATGTGAGACCTGCTACTGCTGCAAATTACACTGCTAATGCTACACCTCAACTATACTCCCGTGTTCCATCTCACCAGAGCCCTATTCACCTCACTGATAGTCACAACTCCACCTCTCTACTATCTACAGCCTTCGACACAATTGATCCAAATTCCCCTACCCCAAGCCCCTCACCACCCGCTCCCATTAATCACCATTCTATGATGACCCGTTCCAGCCATTAATCACCATCCTATGATGACCCGTTCCAAAACTGGAAATCTTAGACCCCGTCAGTTTCCTGCCTTACTCTTAACCACCACTGTGAAACAAGCCCATGCCTCACCTTAATGGACTCGAGCAATGGAAACTGAGTATAATGCTTTTATGATAAACAACACTTGAACTCTAACTTCACTACCCACTGGAAAGACTGTTGTAGGATGTAAATGGGTTTTTCGTGCCAAAGTGAACCCTGATGGCTCTGTGAACAAATACAAGGCAAGACTTGTAGCTAAGGGTTACCTTCAAAAGTATGGTTGTGACTATACGGAAACCTTTTCACCAGTTGTCAAGCCCGTCACTGTTCGAATTATTCTAACCATTGCCCTCACAAACAATTGGCCTCTCAAGCAAGTTGATGTAAATAATGCTTTTCGTAATGACTATCTTGAAGAGGATGTATACACGACTCAATCTCCTGGTTTTGTCTCTAGTGATGCCTCTCTGGTTTGTAAACTTAACAAAGTAATTTATGGGTTAAAACAAGCTCCAATAGCATGGTATGATCGACTCACAAAAACATTAATTAATTTTGGTTTTCAACAATGTGTGATCCTTCTTTGCTCATATTCAACAACAAAGGTTGTTGCATCTACATGCTTATCTATGTCGATGATATTATCCTCGCTGGTTCCTCACCTATTGTGATTCAACAACTCATTACCAAACTAGACAATGTTTTCTCTCTCAAACAACTGGGTGATCTAGACTATTTTCTTGGAATTGAGGTTAAGCGCACTTTCAATGGTAATTTACTGCCGTCTCGAGGAAAATACGCGAGAGATCTCCTGCAGAGTGCAAAGATGGGTGGCTGCAAAAGTATTACTACACCTCTCCCTACTGCAGTTAAACTCTCTAAAGCTGGTGCTGATTTCTTTGCAGATCCAACACTTTACAGGAGCATTGTAGGTATTCTACAATATGTTACAATCACTAGACCTGAGCTCGGTTACTCTGAATAAGGTGTGTCAATTTACGTCTCAACCTCTGGTTTCTCATTGGTCTGCAGTAAAGAGAATCTTAAGCTATCTTAAAGGCACAAGTGATTATAAATTGGTGTTCAAACCAGCTAGTTTAACTGCTCCTATTCATCTTAGGGCTTACTGTGATGCTGATTGGGCATCAGATATGGATGACAGACGCCCAACTTCCGGTGTTTGTGTATTTTTGGGACCTAACCTCATCTCTTAGTGGTCTAAAAAGCAAACTCTTGTTGCCAAGTCTTCTGCTGAAGCAGAATATGGTAGCCTTGCTCTTGCAGCTTTTGAAATTCTTTGGGTTCAATCGTTGCTTCAAGAATTGTGTTTGCCTATTCCTACTCCTGTTATCTATTGTGATAATCAAAGTACAATTGCTCTTAGCCACAATCCTGTGTTGCATTCAAGGACAAAGCATATGGAGTTAGACATATTCTTTGTCAGGAAAAAAGTACTCAACAAATCGCTGATAGTTGAGCATGTTCCTGCACAGTTTCAAATTGCAGATATTGTCACAAAATCTTTGGCTCGTCCTCAGTTTTGTTTCCTTCGAGACAAACTCAGAGTGTCAAACACTAGTGAGTTTGTGGGGAGAGTAATAGAGAATATGATGAGTCCTACTTCACATTAATAGCCTAGATTTAATTTTCAGTTATATCTTAGGATATGAAAGATCAACACTAACCTTCCATTGGTGGAGGTTGCCTTTGAAATACCCTGAGTCACGTTTTGCACTAAACTTTCACTGGTGGAGGTTGACCTTTGAAATACCATGAGTTTTATTAGAATAAGTAAGACCAGTTTTATTTAATAGAATAAGAAAGGTCATCCTTAAATGTAGAACTTGAATGTTCAACTTTTCTTGTATAAATAGAGCATCATGCTCCATTCCAAAATCAATAAAAAACAGTTCACATTGTATAAATTTCTGAATCTGTTACAAATGAAAAGAGAATGGGTTTCTCAGAAACCAGTAAAACCACCACATACTGGTCAAAAGTTGCTGCGGAAGAAACTGGGGTCAAGGCACTCCGCTGCTGAGGCCTATCTGCGAGCAACAAGCTGCAGTTTTCAGGCTCTACTTTAAACCACTCTCCATGCTGTAGCATGCTATTGCTAACCTAGGATTTGAGACATGTGGATGATCAGTCTCATTATAGAAGAATATAAGGAAACAGAAATTATACGAAGTAGTTGAAGTTGGTTAAGAGTAGTTAATTGCATAACTAGTTGGGTGGTTAGATTATATAGTGGGAGGAGAGTAGATGATCATTCATTGTGTTTTTATTCTTTTGAAACTCAAGCCTTGACGTTTTTTAGTAAAGGAAAATCCTTGGAAGGAGGACTCTCTTTGGGTTCTTTCCTTGTAGTCAATAAACACTACCAAAGCATTAATTGTTTTTTTCCCTGTGTTTTTTTCATCTCTCCGAAAATTCTACTGTTCTTGGGTTCCTATCACATGTTGAGTTGATTTTACATAATTATTATACTGTACTACTTTGTGGTGACAACTTCTTTATTCAGGATCTCCGCAGGTGCTTTCAATGTCAGGAAATTCTTATCCTAGTGCTGGAGGTCCGCATTCCCAAAGCCATGTTCACGCAGTAAATAACTTGAACACTATGAGGATGTTGAATGATGTAAATTCCAATGATAGTTCACCTTTTGACCTCAATGATTTCCCTCAACTGACAAGTCGTCCTGGTTCTGCTGGAGGATCTCAAGGACAGTTGGGTACGTGAATGCAATTATATTTTATATTTAATGTTTTTGATTACTTCTACAATAATGATACAAACACAAAATTGCAGGTTCCTTGCGGAATCAGGGTCTTGGTGTCAATCCTATCGGTCAACAAAACCATGAATTTAGCATTCAAAATGAAGATTTCCCTGCATTACCAGGATTCAAAGGTGTACTGTTGTTTGGCAAATACATGTGACTTTATCGTTAATTTTTTTATTTTGTTGCAATATTGATGGATCTATTATGCAATTATATCGTATAACCATCTTCAGTTTTGAAGTTTAGATGTTTTTTTTTTTTGAGAAATCAAATCGTTGAATGAACCCTAAACCCTATGCTCTTGATAGTTTTTTTTTTTGTGTGGCTAAGGCATGTTTTGTTTTGGAAGGGCTTTTGGACTTTCAATGCTTGGCTTTGTTATTCTTTGTTTTATTCTCATGTTGCTCTTGATAAGTTATAATAGGCATATGCTCTTGATAGGTTATTATAGGCATATGATCCTGGTTATATCGTATAGCCATCTTCAGTTTTGAAGTTTAAAAGTTTCTTTTTTGAGAAATCAATCGTAGAATGAACTTTATGCTTTCTTTTGGAAGGTCTTTTGGACCTTCAATGCTTGGCTTTATTACTCTTTGTTTAATTTTTCATGTTGCTCTTGATAGGTTATTATAGGCATATGCTCCTGGTTGTGTGTCAAGCATCTGTACTGTATGTTATAAATTTAATGAAGATGCCTTAATGTCACTAAATGTTGCCTAGCAACTAATTACTTAGGTTTGCACTGATGAATATTTGATTGTTATGATGGAAATGACAACTTTGTTATTGAATGAAAGTTGCGCAATTTACTTCCAGAGATGTTTCTGACCATATTATGTGTACAGGTGTTAGCGCTGATTATGATATGGATATGCACCAGAAAGAACAACTTCATGACAATGCTATGCCAATGATGCAATCTCAGCATTTCTCTGTGAGTAACATGTTATAAAAGATCGAAAAGTCATGCTATATAGAGATCCACATATATATAATATTGATAGGTCAGAAGCACTCATTTCTCAACTTTTCATGCTTTCAATCAGCAGATGGGGAGGTCTGCTGGTTTCAGCTTGGGTGGAACATATTCATCCCATCGTCCCCAACCGCAACAGCATAATCCTTCAGTCAGCAGTGGCAGTGGCTCGTTCTCATCAGTAAATAACCAGGATCTTCTCCATCAACATGGATCAGATATTTTTCCGTCTTCTCGTTCTTCCTATCAGTCACAGGTTCGCAACTTTTCTATTCTGAATGGTGGAACTCGCTTTTTTAATAATGAAATCCCCATTCTCCATTTCAGCGTGTTTTTCAATTAGTGCCTGCTTAAACTAAATTAATGTAATTCCCTGCGGTGCAAGTATTTTCTGACATTCAAATCACTCTGGATCTTTTTTAGACAAATGGACCTCCTGGCATTGGATTAAGGCCTTTAAATTCTTCGAATACAGTTTCTGGTATGGGTTCATCATACGACCAACTCATCCAGCAATATCAACAGCAAAATAATCAATCCCAGTTTCGTCTTCAAATGCCATCTCTAAATCAGTCTTTTAGGGACCAGGGCATGATGTCTATACAAGCTGCACAATCACCAGATCCATATGGTTTGCTTGGCCTGTTAAGTGTAATAAGGATGAACGATCTTGACTTGGCATCTCTTGCTCTTGGAATTGATCTTACTACACTTGGCTTAAATCTTAACTCATCAGAAAATCTTCATAAGACTTTTAAGTCTCCATGGGCAGAAGAATCAGCTAAGGGCGATCCAGAGTTTAATGTGCCACAGTGTTATTATGCCGAACAACCTCCTGCTCTACACGTGAGTTTTTACATTGTTTTATAATTTTATTTCCCTATCGTTAAACCTTTTCTTTGGGCTAATTATCTGATGCATGTTGCAGCTGGGTTATTTTTCAAAGTTTTCAGTGGAAACATTGTTTTACATATTTTACAGGTGCTTTTAAAATCTGAATCTTGCTTCTGTATTGGCTTGTTTGGTATATAAATAATTTAATATAAAATTTTCTTTTCTGCAGTATGCCCAAAGACAAAGCACAATTATGCGCTGCAATTGAGCTGTATGTTATTTTCTTCAATCCATCCTATTTTGTTTATTTCTTTTGATTTTTCGATGATTTGGGATTACTAAAATTTGGTAACAGTCAACTGGATAAGTGGCTAATTAAAGGTGATTTGCAGCTATAAATGTACCTCTTTTTATAACCAAGAGGAACTCTTTTATTTTGGAACAAAATGATTTTTCACAGTTTTCCAAATGGGAACCAAACATACCCCTAGGTATACATAATCAAGTCATTAAAGTCTTTGTTAACCACTTATTCAGTTATTTTGACACTAATCCCAAAATCTTGATTATCTGAATTATTTTTCTTAGTTCAATTATTTCTAACAAGGTAAAGGTTATTTGGTCAGTAACAAAAGAGGTTGGTTTTACCACAAAGAGTATCGACTGTGGTTTACAAGAGCACCCAACATGGAGCCGCTGGTGAAAACAAACACATACGAGAGAGGAACTTATCACTGTTTCGATCCAAGTTCATTTGAAACAGTCCGCAAGGTTAGTTTTTTGTGAATAAGCCATATCTGTGATGTTCTTTACTACTTAAACTTGTTTCAAAGTCATATTGTTACGTTTGTTTCCCCCAACTAGCATCACCCTGTTGTTGGCCTCTAAATGTACAACCTCCTTGCAGGATAATGTTGTAATTCATTATGATATGCTGGAAAAGAGACCTCATCTACCTCAGCATTAAGGGGGATTCAAATCCTTTAATGTAAAGTTTCAATTGTGGATTTAATTCCTCTGAAAATTATAGCAATAGTTTTCCATCAATTTGTTGTTCATTCCGTTTTTGCTTCAGTGATCCTGATCGAGTCTAGTATATTTTCTTTCCCCATCCCCAGTATGAACAATAGCTAAGGTAGGCGTTAATATAACCTAGCAATCTGATAGATGATTTTCTGCTGACTTGTTAAAATGTACATAAAAAAACATCTGAATCATAGTTAGATATAGTGTGGCTGGGTGTTATTCTCCGCCTAATTGAAACAAATTTTAGAGTTGCTTTTGATGCTTTTAGAGTTGCATCTATTATTACTTCCATTGGACGACTTAATAAGCAAAATTATTAACTAACGTATAGTTCATCTAATTTTGTTGACCGTATAAAAAATAAAATTTTTAAACTCTCTGATGATTTTTTTAGAGGGTCCTTACATTTTACTTCTCTTAGATTTTGTTTGGGAATTTGGAGGAGAGAGGAATTTGGGAATTTTTTTAAAAATATAGAAAAATATTTGATTTGAGTTGAACGACGATACATAATATTGATTTAAACGACAATCAATATTGATTTGGACAACGTGACTATGTTTGAAACCATGTGATGATAGAGTGTGGTTGAAAGAAAAATTATAATAGAGATAGACTTAGAAAATAGAGAACTTTTTCTTCTTCTGTGATTGAGGAATATTTTAAGTTTTGATATTGACATTTTTTTTAAATAAAAAAAAAGATCAATTTGATACATTTTTTTTTGAAGCGGACAATTTTACAAAACCGGTTCCTATTCTTTGTTTCGAACGGTTTTGATTCGTTCAATTCGGCTTTATTCTGGTTTTGACCCATTAACGGTTTTGAAAGGTTGATCCAGATTTAGCTCTGAGTCTTGGTCTAACCGATTGAACCTGCTAGTTTGGCCCAATTTTCAAAATATTGATTTTTATGAGCCTTTTTTTATTTATATGTTTTTTATTATATGACCTTCTAAAATTTGGGGTCCTATACAATAGAGCCTGCTCCTGTGGCTGACCTCTTAAACTTTTAAGTGGTGGAAAAATACCACATAAAATTTTGAAAATGCCCAGTTAATTTTGAAAAATACATTTGCGGACGCACTTTGTGTCTTACCAAATCACGCCTGCTTGAGTCTCATTTCCAAATTTGTTACTTTTATTTCTGAGATGCATCTCCAGAACTATTACATGTACACCCCATGCATTCTTCAATTAAAAGCCCTTTTTTTTGACATAACTTGATCCGAAGATGTATCTCCGTATTCACACCAGATTGAATCCATAAATGCATCTTTGAAACTACACCAAGTAGTAATTTCTAACTTTGTTTTAGAGATGCTCACATAAAATATATTATAGCTATATTATCATTTGTAATTTTGTATAAATTAAACCACACACTTTTAGAAAATAAACCCGGTACTAGTGCTCCTTATACAAATACTATAAACTACTGCATATGACAAATTTGAGTCTCCATTTTCCTAGGTTGCATCCTATACTATAGTGCCTCCCGTGCCTCCCATAGCATGGTATTTAGAATGTCTCTCGTCTTAGAGCCATTCAGAAAGAGTCCTTTGTCTATATATGTCTGTCAAATCTCCATGATACAACGACATCTAGACAACACATAAACAACATTATATGCCCTAACATGCTCCTCTTTTAGTATCTCCTGATGAGCTGACATAAGCGAATCTCTTGGAGCATTCAGTATCATATAAGGACGTGACACCTTGAAATACTACTGGATGTAGCCATGTACAACACTCTAGTCGCTAGGAGCTATCATAATTTGTGCCTCATTCGATACCAGATGATCAAGATAATCATCAAGCATGATATCCATATCTCTACGAATTATAGCGAGAGGAGCAGACTCATAATGGTCTATGTGAATAAATTGCATGTAGTTGAACTGCCGCATGACGCGATCAGGCAGATGAGGATACATCAGACGTAAAGTGCAATCCAACCATCCCAAGTAGAAGACAATGTCGTCTAAGGAACGAGTTTCACGATAATTGACGTACATATGGAAGTGTATATCCTCTGCTCCCATGCAGTCAAGATACACTTTGTATGGCTCTATCACTTGATTTTCTCTGAGTGGGATGAATGTAGAAGCACATGGCATATCCCTAGTGTAGGTCGACACACATGACCACCCGAATATGCGTGGGAAGTGCTGGAGGATCAACACCTGAAAATGGTACATATGAGTTATTAGTAATGGCATTGCAAAAATGTTATAAAAATGACACAAAAACACTAAAAGATACATACATATTATTGTACTCAGTATGATGCTTCCTATCACCTGTTTGATCTTCCACATACAACCTTCGACTAACTTGGAGTGCATGTAGACCAAACAAGCGACCTGAATTGTACTCATGGATCCGCTCCAAGTCATCGACTATAACATGTAGATCACATCTACATAAGTGGCACATTGTCCATAAAAATGGACGTGCCAACCAAATACAACATGCATGCTCTCAGAGAGTATGCTCTATGATGTGTAACCTGATCGTCATCACTAGAAGCTTGCTCTGCATCATGAAGTTGTTGTGTATACAACCTGTCTATGAATTGAAACCTAGAATGAGCCCCTCGGGTGGCTTCTAACTCCTTCATGGATTCTATTGGGTTAGCTCCTATATAGTCTACCATCATCTCCAATGCATTATCTCTATTAATCCTATCGTGGTCTAATAGTCTCCCCCTAATCAGAAGATGCAGTAGGCATGAGACATCGTCCAATGTGATAGACATCTCACCACAGGGAAGATGAAATGATGACGTATCTGAGTTCCATCTCTCTACAAACACGAACATCATACCATGGTTAACCGTAACATAACCGATCCTGCACAAGATTTTGAGCAAGTTTCTCTTTGAAAATAATTCCAAAGAGAAAAAGTTGACAACCTCTTTTTATAAGAGAATCTGAGCATGACATATTGTTAGTTAAAATTTATGTAAATGATATTATTTTTGGTGCAAATAAGTAATCCTTGTGTAAAGAATTTTCTAAGATGATGCATAATGAGTTCAAGATGCCAATGGTGATGTTCCTCGGCCTTCAAATTCATCAGTTTAAAGATGAATATTTATTGATCAAGCAAAGTACTACAAAGAACTACTAAAGAGATTTGTCATGGAGAAAGAAAAATCTATCTCCATTATGATGAGCACCTATTATAACTTAGATAAGGACGAGGGAGGAAAACTAGTTGAAGGAAGCATGTATTGAGGTATGATTGTTTTTCTCCTTTATCTCACTACATTCCGTCCTAATATCATGTTTGTTGTGTGTCTCTGTGCCCGTTTTCAAGCATCCCCGAAATAATTACGTCTCACTATAATCATCTATAAATGATCTTAGTAGCAGGAAATTCTTGGTGATTTTGATGTTGACAACACCTAATGCCAAGCGACATTCAGAGAAGTCATTGAAGATATCTGATAAAGAAACCTCTGATGATGGCATCTATTAAAGAATTCATATCAAGCCTCTTGAGATAAAAGGAGTCAAGTCCCAAATGAAGTGTTGAGCCATTGGTGAATCTAGCAAGGGATCTTGAAGCTACGAGGTTGTGAAAGAAAGGAAATGCGAAAACCCACATAGTCCTATGTCTGAGTGATCAATTTATTGTAAAAGTATAAAAGTATCTCCTAAGATACCAGGAAAACTCTCAAACACAAAAATATTTTTGAAATCTATATTCTTTTATAAAATCACTAGAAAATGTTTTACACAAGTGTCTAGTTGGTTACTAGCTTGAATAAACCTTTAGGAGTGTAATTTATACTAGATAACCAATTATTACAATAGGGTTTATTCTATTATCACTTTTTTAACGCCTCCTAATTGTTTAAGAGGAGCTTGTAATCAATTAGTGATGGCGAGTTTGAAAATCTTCCATATTTAGCCTACATAATCGATTAGACCTAGCTCATAAACTATTATGAGCATTAAAATTCCCATGAATCGTTTTCATTTTTGAGCTATATTTTTTCCCATATAAAGGAGGCTTCTTTGCATTTCAAATTACACCAAAATTAGATTTCTATTGTCCTTTTCTTATTTTCTCTCTTATACCCTTTTTATATTCTTTCACCAATATTGCCTTAGTGTCTTGTGAGTGAAAAATATTTTAGAGTTTTTGGTTGTAATGGTGTTCATGCTTAATTGTTCTTTATCAAGAGTGTGATTCTCTTGTTTGATATCTTTGGTTCTTGATATTGTCATGGTAAACTATTTATTTATTTATTTATTGATATTATCATGATAAAATATATGTTTGATTCTTGAGAATATCAGGTGAAATATATGTCTGATTTGTTAGCTTAACTGTCAAAAATTCGGTTTGAATTGGGGGATCAGCCTGTGTAAAATATCGCATTTGTTGTAATAAGGTTCATAGGCATATTCATAAAATCTTAAAACATTATTTTAATGGAACTCCCAAGAAATTTTTTTTGGGAGAGGATTAGGTCAAGTGGTTAGATCGAACCTCTATAAATCCCGATGCAATCTCTATATTCTTATCTTTTTTATTTCGTTTGATTAATTCTATTTCATCCGCACTTACTTTTTTTTTAATTTTCCGCTACTTTATCTCTGCACTAACATAAATTGTTTTTCAAAAAAGTAAAGATTTTTTTAAAAAATTAATCATGAGTTTTACACTTCTCAATTCAATCATTCCCCCTCTTGTGTTTGAAATCACCTGTTCAACACGAAAGACCTCAAAAAGAAACATAGGCGATATAAATAGCATGAGATAATAATGATATGATCTTCTTCAACGTATTAGAAGAAAAGGAAGAGGCAAACATCCATCTCATGAAAAATAATGAATACAACGAGGTAAATGATCTAACTTATCATTTTTCTTATTGCGAGTTCTTCCTTAAATGTAAAATATTATACAATAAGTCAATCAAA